ATCCCCCCCCCCTTCCCCCCCCCCCCCCCCCCCCCCCCCCCCCCCCCCTTAATCTAGATGGGCCGTGTAATACTTATTTTACTTAATTCAACTTTTGCCACTTTTTTGAATCATTGTGACTTGTGAGATTGGGCGCACGCTGAATTGACTTTTGAGAAAGTCCATTAAGTGTAAAAAGTGACGTTTTGGTTTCATTTCTCCGAAATTAAGTGGCATTAAGTAAAAAAAGACACCGGAGGTTTTCCTGATGCACTCACCTAGGTACTGCTCCGCTCAATAAGCCAACAAATACTCGCTGCATCTCTTTGTGTTCACGTCCCGTCCACTGCTTCACACTTGATATCCCTTTCTTGACGTGTCGAAGGCTGGGATAATTCGGGATTGCCTTGAAACGTGAGTCCATTTCGTCCTCCCCAATGATATCGATGCACCACTTCACAAGGTGGTCTTTGAACACACCCTTGTGAAGTTGATGCAAAAGGTTGGGCGTGAACGCTAGAAAAATGTCTGCGTGAGGGAGATCAGCCCAAAATGGTTTGTAAACGGCACGTAAACCATTGGCCTCGAATTCCGGAGGATGCTGACCAATCTTGCGCCTGTGCAAAATATCTTTTGTTGACTCTGGATCACGCATTGCCAAGTGGAGTGCATCCCCTCGCTCATTTGCTGCTACAAGGCACTTCGGACATCGGTTCTCTTTGCAACAACTGACCAAGCACTGTTCCGGGAAATCGGCAACATATGCTGCAAGAATTGGGTAGACACGACGAACCCACGAGTCCGCACACACCATTTCAACACCGTCATTTCCAGCACCGATGAGAGGTTCAAGCAGTAGAGCCATGCAATGGTGGAACAGCCTGTATCCAGCCAAGGAGCGTGCATTAGGGGGTGAAACAGTCCAGTTTGCCTGCTGGTAAGTAACCAATCAGGACTGTTCGCTCGTGCTGATGCTTGGCGCCGTTTTGCTTTAGTGATGTTTCCAATGGACATATACACCGGCCACGCCGATTTATCCCCTCGGAACTGCGACAAGGACATTTTGTCTGAAGATAGAATGATTGGTGCTATCGTGGCACCTTCTGGCAAGGCTTTCTGTGTGCGAGGTCAGTCCGTTACTTTGTTGCTCTCCTCTCAAATAGTCTTACCTGTTTATCGCCCCACCAGTCTGCTGTCCACATCTCGTCGATCACCCTATCTTGCCCTGCACGGTCTGCATATGCTTTGGCAGGTGAGTAGGCCATATCTTCTTTGAAGGCAGGGTTGCCAATGAGCTCTTTCACGCACTCTACAGGATCGCAGGCACCACAACTCAACCTCCTCTTGCAACATCTCGCCATTCTCATCCTCGCAGTTACCACGCACAGTCACCTTCTTACAACTCCATCCTGGCCCGTGTGGAAGTTCGTCCATGCACTGCAAGAATGAGCAGGTTGTTATGAAACGAAAGTTTCGTGCGGTTTTGTGTCTGGTTAGGGTATCAATATTGTAAGTTCAAATTTTGATTAACACTTTCAAACTTACAATGGGCAGTTTTAGGAATTCGTCGGTTCGCGTCTGACCGAGGTTCTTGACTGAGCCACTGGGCCAGATCCCATTCTTCCCTGGTGAGTGATATTAGTAGATGCTATGCCAGCGCATTCGAGCACTTACGCATCCTCGAAAGGCGACCATGGATCCTCACCCTCTTCCTCTTGGTACGTTCTATATCTTTCAAAATTTGTCTCCCCCTCACGCAGTGCCCAGCCAGCATCCGACTGAGGTTCGAAATATCGCCCGTTATTGGGGAACAACATCCCATCCTCATCCTCGACTTCCTCAACTGTAGTCCGTCGAGTTTTGCGGAGCGCTGGGTTATTGTCGGTATCTGGAGACGGGCGCGAGTGTACATGACCCGCCGGTGCTGCATCTTGATGGGGGAAGTCAACATCTGGTGCGTCGTCTAAGTTCTCTGCCTCTACATCTTCGATCATTGATGCCCACTGCCAGTCGACATTCAGGACGTCCTGCAACGTGTCTCTTGAGACCCTCGTGTGTAGTTGTTACCTTCCCACAGAATACACAGTGGGGCATGGCTTGTCTGGTGCGAGTGTCAAGTCGTATTGTACCGGCCCTAAGTGTCTTGACGGCACACAAAATGGAAAAAAAACACTTGACCCTCAAGTGAGTCCGATTCAGCCCCGACCGAGTCCAATTCCGCCCTCGTGACCAACTACTGTCAGGGACGCAGTTCATACTCGAACGCCACCATTCCTTACGCCACATAATATGGAGTTTGACCCGAACATCCAGGAAAAAGGCGATCCACATGAGAGGTTTTGCCGTTCGCAGCATGAAAAAGGCGATCCACATGGTGTGCCATTATTCCGAATGACACTTGACTAAAACTAACTGACTACTAAGACTACTAAGCTAGGGTAGTAATGCCATGAGCCGCCAGTAAGAGCTCCAAAAGTTGAACCTTGCGTGACTCTTCGCACCGCTTTTTCTCTGCATTCCAATGCACAGTTATCATCTCCCACACCAAATTTTGGTGAGCAACAGGACCTTTCATGTGCTCTGAGAGCTGCGCTTTGCATGTCTCTTTGCAAAGCCTAATCTCTGCATCCCAGCGCTCTAATACAAGTGTTTGCAGGTAGGTCTGTGATGTTTTAATGGGCCCTGGGGTTTGGTGATATGGCGCCAATGGAAACTGAATCTCAAGAGCAGGCGGTACCTCCCTTGGAGTATGAGGTACCTCCCGTCCCGGAGCACGGACAACGTGAAAGGGACAACTTGGAGGAGGTAACAGGATGTTCAGCTTCACATCATCTGATTTGTTCGATGGCATGAGCGCTGGGCTACAACATCGGTAAGTGTGAGGCGAGCATTCGACAAGCCAGCCACTTACTATTTATTCATCTTGGCTGTAGTATCGATCTCGCTGTAGTATCGATTGTATGTTGGAAAGGAAAGTCATCCCCGTCCCTCTTATTTATGCCATTATATTGACACCGCTTCGTCAGTTGAAAACTTTAACTTCATGATCAACAAAACTCGATCAACAAAACTCAAAATTTGTTTGTTGATCCGACGCCACTGTAGGGTTTTTAAAGGCATGCATACCCCCTCCTTCTGTTGTCGTTATTTCTACTGACTACCGTCTATCATGGCCGCAAAAGCCCCCTCCAAAAAGGGAACTAAAACGGCACTTTTGAAGGCCCAGGAGGAAGTATGTGCAGAGATGGTGTCGACCGCGGGACGCACTGCAAGTGGTCGTCAACGTCGGCCAACCGAGAAAGAGACATATTGAAGTAAGTTATATCAAGCCCGACATGAATGCTCGCGCTCATTAAAATGTTTCTGCTTAACAGTTACAAAAGCTCATCGAGGAGCAGACCGCCAAAAAGCCTTACAAACGAAGATGCAGAAGCGCGACTTAAAGGCACTGTGCACTACATACCAGACACATCCCGAGGAATTTGATAGCGAGCCTGCTGGGCTTCTTAGCGATGTTGACAGGGATGAAGACAGCATGGTCAGTGTCTTATTTGTCCATGTGCTCCATGTTACTCACAAGTACATAATAGTTTTCGGACCGCTGTGTACCTACAAGACTATCCAATCAACAGGCACTCACATTCAGTATGAGCAAGACCCCTCCAACTGTCTTGGCCCGAAAACCCACGAGTAAGATCCGTACGAAGCCACAGAAAGGTACAATGTCTCTGCCAGTGTGTATCTTGGACTAACACACTTTTTCAGCGCCCTCACCTGTTGTGACTTCGGATGACAACAGTGACGGTGAGGGCAGCAGCGACAGCCATGATTCGAACAAGTTTGTCAATCGCATGGACGAGACTGAGAACGGGTCTGATTATGGCGCGGACAACACTGCCAATGATCATGATGAAGTGGCCAAAGCTTCTTCAACACCAGTTGTTGGCACCAAGCGCCAACTGGAGGACTCGGAGGTCCTCAATACTGACCCGAAGTTCAAGAAAGGTCCAAATGGAACACGCCAACGGTTAAAGGCTAGCGATTTCGACGACATCACTAAGGATTTGCTCACTACTGCCACGTCTATCTACCGCTGTCTAGTTGTGACTCGCGCACCTTTTCCAGAGACACTGATTGTTGAGACGAAGTTAGCAAAGGATGCCTGGCGTGAGGCGTCTAACATGGCAGAGCTTACCATCCAACTTACCCCTTCTCTCGTCAAAATGGTATGTCTCATGTCCACGTCCTTGCCCTACTTGATTTAATGTTGCCATATAGATGACGAGGCGCACATCACATGTGCGCGGGGAGCTTAAAACAAAGATGTGCGTATTGACGGCCTCGTTCTTGGGTTCTGTGCAAGCAGATCTATACTCGCCATCAAGGCAAACCGTGACCTGGCCGAGTCTCTCAAGGAAGGATCACGTTTTGTTTTCAAGCAGCCGATGATGTTATATAGATGTATCCTAAGTGGACTATAGTCCTAAAAGTCCGATACATACTCTTCTATTGTCATCCACTATCCAACCGGATGTATCCAGGATATATCCTACGTGAGAATCGCGCTGCCGGCTTCCTTTGCTTATAAATCACTGTTTTACGGGGGGTTGAATGCTCCATATGGATATCTGGCAGTTCACCCCCGTTTATACCCTGCCGTTGCCCCGTCTCCCTCATTCTCCTTGATGGGATCAGCAAACAGCGATTGGATCTGACGATGGGATCGCTTCTTGTACCTGTCAAGAAGCAATACGGCTGATACGCTCACTGCACTGGGACTTTGCTGTTCTCCAAAGTGTTTTTCAACCGTGAGAATGAGTTTCATGACTCCTTACCTCCAGCTCTTTGGCGTCCGCCCACCAAAATATTCTCCAACACGTCACAATGTTGTCAAGAAGCAATACGGCTGACACACTCACTGCACTGGGACTTTGCTGTTCTCCAAAGTGTTTTTCAACCGTGAGAACGAGTTTCATGACTCCTTACCTCCAGCTCTTTGGTGTCCGCCCACCAAAATATTCTCCAACACGTCACAATGTTGTCTAAATCTGTGAGTCTTAAGATTTTTTGTCTTACCAGTTCTCAAAATTTGTAATACTTTGGGCAGTACTTTGAGCTCGCTGCGATCACACAACGATGTGGCTCGGTATGTAGATAGTGAGGCAGTCCGTTCAAAATCAGTACCGGCGAAGCTTCAATATCAACCTTTATCCAGTTGTGCAATACTCGGGACTGCGCAAGGTACTGCTTGAGATAATGTGAGAGCGGGCAAGGTTCATGTGCGCACAAGCTCAGAGTTGATGCCTTCCCCATTCACTACTTTAGTGCTGGTCTCTATAGTCAGTTGGCACCATACACGACAGATTGTCTTCTAGAACCATAGCAATTCAATAGCATTTTTGCATTAGTACTAGTACTTGTAAATTTCAAACACGGTTTCGCGTCAACATTAACACCACATGAAAATAAGCGGTATGGAAGGGAAATGAAAGCGACAAAAAACAGACGCAAGAAAGCCAATACGGGAAAAACTGAGCAGACGGTATAGCTCACACCCTTGGTCTTCTGTGCAAGATAATGAGCACAAGAGGTTTAAAAAACAAGAAGAGACTTACTTTGTTTGCTGGCCCACACGAGTGGATGAATCAGTACCATGGCTGCATTTTGAAGCCAGGTTCAATGAGTTGCCGATCGAGTTGCTGATGGTGTTGTGTGTAGATGGGATGTGCGCGCGCCTTGTTCTACGGGGTCCGCCGCTGTCATTCCCCTCGTCCGCTTGAGCCTCTGTTTGAACCTCGTTTTCTTGAGCCTCATTCGCAATGTTTGCCAAAGGGGAAGTGTGGGATGGGATGGATGGAGGGCACGAGTCTGCCGAAGAGGAAGTGCAGGTCGGGATGGATGGAGAGCATGAGTCTGCTGAAGGGGGAGTGCAGGTCGGGATGGATGAAGGGCACAAGTCCTCTGTAGGGTCTTCTTCCACTGAAGATGCAGGGTGTGCATCTGGCCTGTCGCTGTTGGGCTCCTCTGCGTTTCCGGGGAGGTGTGCAGTTGGGTGCGTGAATCCACTAGGAAGTGAGTCGGCTGAGGGCACACCATCAAACGGCTCAGGTGTGGAAATAGAAACACCATGGACAGAACGGGGAGAAACTGGTGGAAGGGGATGGCAGAGTGTTTCAGCTGCGGGAAGGGGATTGCAGAGTGTTTCAGCTGCGGCCAGAACCGCAGGAATGAAAGGCGCCTCAAGCGAAGGAGGAACGTGTGACATCAAGTGGTCAACAGCCGACATTGGCAGGTTCTGGGCCAATGTCTCGAGGAAGTCGTTGAGGTCATCGGACAGCGGCCAGTCTTGTTGATTGTCGCCAGAGAGAACATTGTGAGAGCTGAAGGGTGTAGGAGACCCAGGGCCATTTGATGAAGGCAGAAACTCGGATAAATCCGGGCCATTTGACGAAGAAGGAAACTCGGATAGATCCGGTAATCGAAACGTGCCTGACAAAGATGTATCCCGGTTGGACAGTTGTCCATCATATCTGACGCAGGATATGACGGTTGATTCAAGCTGTCTCCCCACAACGAACTGGAGCTGCTTGCTCCCCCCATCTTCCGGTCTTTGAGTGCTGCAGCCTCCGCTGTTAGCAAAACAGTAAGCCTTTTTGTCCAAGGTGTCTGATAAGAAATAACATTTACGATACACACGATACAGATAGTCTTGGAACGGGCCCACTATCTCACTCTCGAACTTAGGGTAAGCCTGGCTAAAATTGTTGCCCAGCTTCGTCATCCCGACGTGGAAGCTGCCCAGGTGAGTGTCATTTTGGCTCTCGAGTTTTTGAGTTTCTAATGTAGAACATACCTCCAGACATCAATCATTCCACCTAGCTCGACGGATGGACCCCCAATAAGAAGGCTGAAGGATAGGCCGGTCGCATCAGCGAGGCCTTTTAGGAATTGATTTGCGACGGTGGCCAGTTTGGTAAGATTCCTTTGTTCATGTTAGGTGATACTACTATGCAGTGAACTTGAGCAGGACGTGCTGCTGCTGATCTTCATCACTCCAAGGCTCAGCTTTTTCCTTACCGCGCTCTTCCTTCTGTGCGTGGATATACTCCTTCACCTTAGCCTTGATATCCTCGGACTCGCCTGCATACAGAGCAGCAGTCTCTTTTTTCACAAGCGCTACTCGCTGACCATTGGTGAGTGATTGTGTTGCTTGTGCGACCTTCAGCGTCTCTTGGATGGATTTCTGAACATGATCAGCATAGTACAACTTGGAGTATGCTTTGTGTTCCTGAAGCATTCGTGTAGGTTTTTCGCATTCAGTTATTTTCCGCACCACAGCATCAAAGATGTCATTGGCATTGGCTTTCGCCTGTCGCCCCACCTTTGAACCGCTGAAATTATTTTTAAATCGCGTATGTAATTTCTATCGAACATTCTTAGTGTTGTTGGTGACAATTTCAATGAAACTTACGGCTTTTCGTATGTCAGTTGCGTCGTTGTGTTCTTCCAGCGTTAACGGCCCCAATTTGGTGATATGATTTGGTCGAGGCTCTGGAAATTCCTCGAACCATTTTTCATAAAGGTCCGCGAAGAAGTTTTTGTGGTTTCTACTCTTGTCACTCTGCTTTTCGGCGAACTTTTGGTACCACGGTTCAAGCCACACCTCCTGCTCGGACGTTGTCCATTTACGAGGCGCCATCTATTTTCATGATTTCAACATTAAGTCATCTTGGCATACAATGAGATCAATTAGATACATATGTTAACGTTAATTGACGCGCTGATCGACAAGACTGGGCGTTTAGGTTGCAGTAAGCGAAATGAATATTGAAATGTAGCGTAAAATCGAGACCAATGTCCCACACACGGACACTATGATAGTATCATACAGCTACACAATATACTAAGCTTCGTGTCAAAATTGAAAGTACTAGTAAATATGCAGAGATCTCCTAAAGACTCTGAAACAGGAAGTGTTTATGTGCATACCGTTGTCTTAGATCCATGTCCTCGACCATCACGCAGGAGAATAAATCCTCGAGGGCCGACAGTACCTCTGCAGCCTGTTTAGAGTTGTCCTGCGCATTACTATACCTTCGGCCCGTAATTCTCGCTCTTGACATAGTCTCTTCAATCTCTTTGAGCTCCCATAAAATCTCCTGAACAATGCCCATTACATCGCGGATGTTGTCTGAGCAGCGTGTCTCCAGATACTCGGTATACAGTGCATCAAGTGTGTCGTGAGGTGAAGCACCTAAGTAGGTTAAGAGGCGATTTTTTTCCCTGTACGTCCGAGTGTTTGTCAGTAGATTGCAAGAGATGTGAGAGATGAGCGCTGAGCATACACAGTGTGTTTTCGATATGGGGATGATTGGTCTGAGCTGTTCCTGAATGCTGGCAGTTCAATTGTGTATATTTCAGAGATAAAAGGAAGACCTACATGGTGGAAGATGTGCTAGCCTGGGCACGATATCTTGCTTTCATTTTTGTACTAATCGTGTTCTTGTTTCTGGTGTGAAATGAGTTAAAGCCTCCAGTATCAAAATAAATTCGCACCGTGCATAGTATGCTTGTCTGTGCATTCGTTTTGCTTCCCGGAGCTCTTCGGCAGTTTTGTAAAGCTTTGGTCTGCCCATGTCGGCAGATCTAGTGTAGCGATTGTGGTGCAAACAGTATGTATATTTGTAAGGGGAGTTTGGAATTTGGTTGAGAAAGGTTAATGATCATGTACGCCATTTTTGGTTCATGTGTCGTTGGACTTTTATAGGTCTTTTACTGTATGTGCTGACCGCAAAGTCTCTAAGTTATTGTTATTTTACAAGCTTAAATTTACACCGGCTTCGTTGGTAGCAGACAGACTATATTGTAAATATCATATGTACATGTCACTCTTGATCTATAGCAATAAGACGAGCACGAATAAAGTCCGATAAATCTGGCACAGGGAATATGCACCATGAGCACCCGTACATAGAACGAGCGCGTCTTGGATTAAGCTATGCCCAGGTCAGCCAGGATTTTAGGGTCTGTATCAGGTGCGCAGTCATTATAACTCTGAGAGGCTATGAATAGTATTGACAACTCACGTATTTATGTTCCTTTTCAGCTACGCACAGCTCCGACTTCTCGTCTTCACTCAACGTGTTCTGCTCTATAGGACGACCAGGCCACACAACATCTTCCTCAGGCCAATTCTCCAGCCACTCCTTATGAATCAGCGTCAAGTACGCAGGTTCAGCATCAAACCTGATCACTTGCCATTTGGTCAAGTGGGGCATCAGCCATGCGTGCTGTTCCTGTGTGGGCTGCCACCTCTTGGACATCTAGGAACCACTATGAGCTCTGGCCTGAATATCGGTATACAGCTCATACTACATACCGTTATCTGTGATTATGGGAGGAATGCGCAAGCAGAGTTGCATTGCTCTGGTATTTTAGGTCAGTTTCAATTGTCCATGGCAATACATCATTTGTGCTTCTTAACAAGCTTCTAGGATTCGCCAACAGCGCATATGGTATGTATGTTGGCATATGTGCCACTAGATGTATCACTAATCTACCCTAGTAGTCAAATTTGATGTGTTGATGCTTAGAGAGGCAGCACTAGCCATGTCACAGTCTGGACGCACTGGCCGTCCTTCTAAACGTCCAAAACTCGTCAGACATACACTGCCCGACACCAATCAGTTCTCAAATCATGTCGACAGGCATCGCATATTCAGTTTGCAGCCTAGCGGCCAACTTGCGCTTCGAACTTCTTACATTCCTGCCAGCCTGCCTGAGAAGGAGGACGAAACTTTTCACACTGTGCCCGCCGATAACCCTACCATGCCCACCGAAGATGATCCTTGGAACGAGATGGAACACTTTGACCCTGCATATGAGGTGGACGACGCTGAGACACCAATGGCCGAAAAGGGACGCGGGAGAACTGCAGGAGTAAGTCTCTGGTGTTATGAAGATGATGCCGTCATTGATTGTTTGTAGGACGATCCCATCTCCCTTTGGCTGGACGAACGTCAGACGTACATGACTGAATTTCTACGACTTGAGGGAAGAGGCGAGGATTCAGACACCCCATGTGTGTGTGGTGCAGAGGATGCCGTGTTTCGGTGTCAGGATTGTTTCTCTGTCAATCTTGCATGTCGGTCATGCACTGTTAAATCGCACCTTAACTCCCTGCTCCATAGAATTAAGGTGCGTGTTCCTTTTGTTCTCCAATTATAATATTAACGAGAAATAGGAATGGAGGAGCGGGTTTTTCCACCCTGTTTCATTGAAATCTATGGGCCTGCGCATCTAACTTGGACACCCCCCCCCGGTACCACTTGTCGCAAACCATCACCTGCATTCGGCAATAATTTTGTGATTATCAATGTCCATGGTGTGCATTCAACAGGACTCGATTTTTGTGGATGTGAGCATGAAGTTTCGCATTTCAAACAACTACTCCGCACGCGCTTGTTCCCTGCCACAGTGACTGACCCAAGAACAGCGGCAACATTTGCTGTCTTGGAGTTCTTTCACATACTTTCCTTCGAGTCTAAGGTATCTGCCTTTGAATTCTATCATAGCTTGGCGCGGCGGACTGACAACACAGGAATCACGCCAATTCATGTAGGTGTATTCTGTGATATCATATATTCAAATATGCTTACGCAGAAGGTCAGGATCGCTATTCAGTGTTTCTAAGGATAGTCCGCGAGTGGAGAAACATCAAAGCGCTCAAATGTTCAGGTCGTGGCCACCATCCTGCAGGAATAGATTCCACTGAAGACGGAGATCTGGCTGTTCTCTGCCCTGCCTGCCCGCATGTAGGGAAAAACCTTCCTACTAATTGGGAAACTTCACCTCCAAATCAGCAGTGCGCACGTTCCCTTATCACAACACAATGAATTCGCTGACGAATAGCTAGATGGAAGTACGCACTTTTTCTTGCTATAGACGCCAACTTTCGACTCAAGCGCTGGATGGTGTCGACCGATCGACGAGATCCTGGCCTTAGCAAAGGATGGGGCTATTTCGTCAAAGAGAGCGAATATAAGCGGTACCTGCGCACCAATGGTGAAACTCTTCAAGAGGTGCGCTCTTAGATATCTTTTAGTCTCCTTCTTTGAGTCTGACAACTATTCTACACCTGACAGAAAAGTAACTGTGTTAGCCATAATGCAGTTAATCTCGCGGATACGAAGTCATCAAGGGGACTTGCTGCAACTGGCGTGGGCACCGTGGATTGTGCACGCCACAATATGAAGTTAGCTAATGGTGTTGGTGACTTACAGAAAGGCGAAAAGTAAGTTGAATCATCAGGTACACACTGTCTGTATAACTCACATCATCATAGATACTTGAATATGGACTATCTTGTTTTCTCTGCTCTCGCCAGATTCTCTACCCTGTCGACAATCAACTTTTCATACGATATCGCGTGCCAGTGGCACAAAAAATTGTGGGATCGCTTGCCCACACTACCACCTCATCTTCAGTTCAATCGAGAAGGCAAGACCGTTAATTTTTTTTGTGCTGAAGTTCCATATCGCTGCACACATCGAATCCTGCCAGACTCAATTCTCATTCAATTGGACTCCAGGGGTAGGACGGACTGACGGAGAAGCACCTGAGCGTGGATGGGCAAACATCAATCGCGTGGCTGGCAGTACAAAGGAAATGGGTCCTGGAGCCCGACGCGACACACTCAATGACCAGTTCTCTGATTGGAACTGGAAGAAGATTATGGCTCTCGGTGAGTGTTGGTGTAGTATGTTGACATTATTGTACTGACCAGTCTCATCTTTAAAAGGTAAAACTATGCTACGAAAAATAACAGAAGCCATCGTTGCTGAGAAGGAGCACCGTCTTGCTCTCTGGGAACTTGAGAGCTCTATCAATGACTCTGAAGTAGGAGCCGCTTCCCTCGCTGCATGGAGGACAGAGATTGAAGCCTGGGAGATGGACCGCTCGCAGTGTAATCCATTCCAGCCCAGAGTTGGCGGTGAGTTGTTCTTCATGATGCTGAGCTATTGCTCACAACTACACAGCAATGACGCAGGCATCTGTGCGGTTAGAGTTAGCACAACGGGACGCAAACGAGTTGGAAGATGGGTCAGCAATATCACTCCACAGCGAGGTTACCTGCAGTGTTCTCATTAGCACTGGAATTGACCTCGAAGATGCCCAGTAAGTCATTTTTCAAATCTCTTGTAGAGCGCTGCTGAATTATCTTAGATGCCGTTTGCGTGTTGATTCCTCCGCGCTTGGTCAGCACACAACCGATATCCAGAGGACTAAGGTCTTAACTCGAAGGAATGTACTGCAACGTTGCCTAGATGCATGGACCGACATTCAAAAACTCTACATGCCAATGATTCCAAACCTCCGAATCTCTGCAATCCTCCTAACTGGCATCAACAGTGACAACAGCGGCTGTCCAGTCCCAGATCTTACCTCTGGCAAGGCAGAAGACTTTCAATTGCTTCTGCCTTCCAAGATATGTGATACCGTGCCATGCAACAAGACACTCCTGGAAACAGAATGGTCCCTACGTTTTGCCCAAGCTACTGATTCTCTGAACGAGTGTCGTTCGCATATTCGACTGCGCCGTCAGCTGTATCAGTTCAAGGTCCAGCATCTACGCGGACAAGGGCCCAACACCCGCGCACGCAAAACTATGGATGTAGTCGAGGAACGTCTTATGCTGAGCCATGCTAAGTATACAAGTGCTCATGAGGCACTTCTCTCCTTAGCTCATCACCTTGATCGGACAGGATGGGAGCACAAATTGCAGCCTCTGAAGAAGGCACATCTCAGACCAATAGGGGACTTTGGACAACAGACTCAAGGCACGGCAATTATGTCCTGGATTTGGTTAACTCACGGAATTTCTTCTGACGACAGCGAGGGACTCCAAGACTGTAAGTTGTTTGATCTCGCTTTTTTGTTGTTGTATGCTGAACTACATCAGCGCTTCGTGTCGAATGGTGCAAAGCCCGAGCACGTCGTAATAGGTGGTTGGAGGAAGTCCAGCTCTTATTAGAAGAAATGCGACGTATTCTAGCCTTTCTCACATGGCAGGGAGACTACTGGGAGTCGTGTGCAACCCTACCAACTGTCGAACAACCCGAGGAAAAGGAGGGCGTGATCGCGTATGCTCACCGCCAGGCTCACATCCGACGAGCTTTATTAGCAGCTTTTGCGGAACATTGGAAGAGAGTCCCACAACTCGTGGCCTCAAATTTGGATGATCCAACTGCTGACGATGTCGAAGGGGTCTCTTTGGATGCGCCTCCTTGTGAGTATATCGAGGGACCCGAAGAATAATAGCATTTCTGTACCGTGATTGTACCATGATTGTGAAATGTTAATTGATGCGCTTCTTGATCTCAGAACCTAAATAGTGATATGGTACCTAGTGATATGGTACCTGGAGAGATCGCGAGATTGCTGACGACAAAACAAGATTGCAAGATATATAAAATAAAATAATATGTTCACCGGGGATGGATGGCCACCCTTCCGAGAGCGCTGAGAAGTTCGGTAGGTTGGCTGATCGATAACTATACAGAACGGATATATTCTAGAGTGGATAACTAGACAGAACAGATGTATTCTAGAGTGGATAACTAGACCTAAGGATGTATCGGACTTTTAGGATTATTAGCCATATGGATGTATCTTTCTGCCTGTATCCTGTGTTTCAAGGTGCGTGTTTAAATTCAATTTCACGATTTTTAGTCAACATCTGACTGGTGGAGTAAAAGGACTGGGAAATGAAATGTGGCATATACAAGACCGAATTAATCCAGTCGGCGGTCAACGATATGTGGTTTACAAACTGAAGCGACGAGGGTATAGTATATGCTAAATACTTTGATCCTTTACCCGTTCAAACCATTGCACTTATACTCACAGCGGTGAGTGTATTCAGTGATTCTGATGTTCATACTGCAACTGAGGTCTGACAGATTGAATGCTGCATCGATGAGTGGATGACTGGTGTAAAGGAGGACATCAAATTTTCGTCGGTGGCTTACTCCCCGGTCTACCTTATCCATCTCAAATCCCTGCGGCGGTTCGAGGAGCGGACTGCTGCTTACAAACTGCTCGGTAAAATTGGTGTCGATCTTCTCGACATCGCTCGGTATGTTTCTGATTACTTATGTCATTCATCATCCAAACTGACTTTCATAAAAAGGATGCACGCTGGTGTGGATCCACTTATGGCAGCAGTGACTATTGATAGCTTTACCGATGATGTTTTCGATGATGCGATTCGAGAGTACGAAGACGAGGCTCGAGAAGCACAAGAAGGGGGTGGTGACTCGGATTGAGGCGGCTTTCGAGAGTACGAAGACGAGGCATCAGGAAAACCTCCGGTGTCTTTTTTTACTTAATGCCACTTAATTTCGGAGAAATGAAACCAAAACGTCACTTTTTACACTTAATGGACTTTCTCAAAAGTCAATTCAGCGTGCGCCCAATCTCACAAGTCACAATGATTCAAAAAAGTGGCAAAAGTTGAATTAAGTAAAATAAGTATTACACGGCCCATCTAGATTAAGGGGGGGGGGGGGGGGGGGGGGGGGGGGGGGGGGGGGAAGGGGGGGGGGGGATTTGGTGACGAGTTCTGAGGCCAGTTATGCTCGTCGAATTCTTCTTCGAGGGGGGCTCCAGTTGGCAGTTACGCTCGTCAAATTCCTCGATCGCTCGCTTGTGAGTGATGGTAGTTACGCTCGTCGAATTCCTCGATCACTCGCTTGTGAGTGGTGGTAGTTACGCTCGTCAAATTCCTCGATCGCTCGCTTGTGAGTGGTGGTAGTTACGCTCGTCAAATTCCTCGATCGCTTGCTTGTGAGTGATAGTAGGCAACGTGGTCTAGTTGTGCTCACCGAGTTCCTAAGACGCAATCTCAAATGCGTGATGGTCTGCGAATTTGTTCACGTAGAATGCTTGAAAAGCATCATACGAATCATAGTGCTTGAGGTCGCGTGGGATGAACTGTGTTCCATAGATTGGAACAAGGTGCGCGGCGCGATAGATCGAGTCGACGTGGATGATTCCAACGAACGGTGAATTATCTGTATCAAATGAAGGCTGGACGATCCACATCCCTGTGTCTTCGTTGGGCCCGTTGCTGGCTTTGTCGAACCAGCGTACTACAGCGCATGGGTACGAAATACCTTCAAATGTGAATGAAAAAAAACACATTATACGGGCTACCTCCATGCCCCCATCCCTTCAACACCTGCATCCGTGTTAACGAACACGCAGTCATACCGGGGTGCTTTGTTTCTCCAAACGGGACAGGCACGGATGTGTTCCCGCCGCATGCCGCCAATCCCGCTGCGGTCACTGGGTGCATAAAACATTGACGACGCAGAGTTGAACACTTGAATTTTTCCATCGAATTGAGGACATCTTGCAAGCGGGATGTCAGAGGGAGCATGCTGGTCGTCTGGGTTTGCTTGCTCGAATAAGAATCGGCGGAGGAGGGTGTAGAGATGGGGGATACCAAGTTCTGTAGATAAATTAGAGATCGTGCGTGCACGTTTGCGTTCTGCGCAATGGGAAGGATTATATTAGAAAAGTATTCAATTGAAAATGTGAGCTAACTTACGAATCGTTTTTGCCAACTGAACGTGGGCTTGTACCAGCGTTGGGCTGTCGTCGATTTCACCCTCTTCGTTATCGCCAAGTATCGTAACGTCGGGGTTGGAAGGCAGCACCAAAAGATTGTCGTTGTCTTGGTTGGACTCGTTGGTGGCAAAAGGATCCTTATTCAAGCGCAAATGCTCTACCGCAGATATTTAGCACACGACAACACTTGAATGTACAGCGCAATAAAACTTACTTATCTTTGAAGCATTGCAGACAGACAGGTGCTGTTCAACATTCCACGGCTCTTGAAATCCACGCGCGCTGCGGCAAGTTTATCTAAGCGCTGGTTTGTCACCAGCATTTGACCGAGTGCTTTGTAGCGACTCGATCGTCTCCACGGTTCCTTCACTGCCTTGATGTGCTTTGTCTCCGTGATTGACAAGCAAAGGCCATTCGGCGCACCATAAAGTCGGATAAGGAGGATGTAATGGGAGCACGAGTGTTGTCGAGGGAGGGAGAACGTGGAAACGACGCCGGTGGACTCAAAAATAGCCCTGTAGTGATGGAATCGGTCGAGAGCGTCCTGGATTTGATATAATGTAGATTCCGTAATGATGCTACGCCGTACGAGATAGCAGAATTCAAGGAATGCACGAAACGTGCGCACCACATCAGTTGGGATGTGGCCTTCGATGGCGGGTAAATAAACCTAGTAGATTGTTGTTAGTCTGATCAACTTGTGCAAAAATCAACTTGTGCAAAAACTTACCTTCATAAGCGCTTTCGAATCATCACCTGTCCATTGTTTGAATCCTCGACCTTCTGGAAAGCGTCGAAGGCCTGCGAAGGAGGAAACTGCAGCAATTCTTTTATGATGTGAGTTTTGAAACATTTAATCAGGACAAATTGACCTACCTTCGGTCTATATCATCTTGAATTTTCTCTGCCTCTTTCTTACCATGTACGTGTACCAAATACTTTCCAACCCACTCGACCAAGTGATCCTTGAAGGTTCCTTTTATGAGTTGATGCAGGAGATCCGGTGCAATCAACTCATGTATATCAGCGCAAGGGAAGTCGTTTGTAAACGGCTAGAAAGGGTGAATCTCGGCTGCATTAGAGACATATATGAGACTTACAACAAGGTCGCCGACAATCCCGTACTCGTCCCACAGCGTGAGGGACGTTGCAACCTCTTCGATCAGCGCCTCCGTATGGTCACGACACCGACACAACGACTTCTCATCTAAATTCTTTGCGGTTGGACATACACCTGTAGTACATTAGTAGTTAGTACTGAGGTAGAGGGCAGAGGATAAAAAACACACCTGAGGCACCAGCCGCGCACTATACATGCTAGAAGAACCTGCTCTTCGTAATCTGCGATATACGGACCAAGCCCGTAAATCACACGCCGATAGTGGCCATCACCAAAGCGAACAACCTCTGGTTTGGTCATGCTCGGTCTCAGGTTCTCGAGAATCTTGGCGATGGATGAATGAAACAATTGTCAGGCGATATTTCCGATATATTGCATCGGCAGCGTGCTCCTTCGTAGCTTCTCGATTGTAATTAGTACAGAACAACAGGAGGCATATGAAACTTACTTTTCGGCATAGCAAGGAAACCAACAATGGCAACGGCGTCACGATGTGCACGCCGGACGTTGTTGCGCACATTGCCAATCGATACGTATAAGGGATAGTAATCGTTCGCGCCAGTCGCCACCGAAACAGTGGTCTTATCAGATCCGAGTATAACCGATACGAATGTTGAGCCGAGCGTATCCGGATCTTCACAAATTATGTCCTACCAAAGATTGTTAGTATGGGTCGCTAGAGAAAACAACAAAATAAAACATACGGCTTGATTCCAAGCCCAATCACCGGACATGAAGTCCTGCCATTGTCGTTTGTCGCCGTCAGCTGAGTACTCACGGAAAGGGCGGTAATCCATCTCTTTTTCGTAGTCGGGATTTCCCAACATATTCCGAATCACCTCATGGGGGTCACGGTACCACACATCATGAGACTGGTCCATCCAGGGTGGTACATCGCTTGTTGGCTTCTCCCCAGTGTACCGTACCTTGAACGATTGCCATTTGACATCGCCTAATGGTGTATTGTCGATCGTTCTATGCAAGTCGCGGCAGTCTGCGAACGGCGGCTTGTCGTCGTATTTCAGGAGGGTTGCGGCCCAAAGATCCAATAAAATGTTGATATCCCCGGCGGACATTTGGTTGCGCGCATACAGAAACTCCGCAGTCTCAAACTCGACACGATCCCGGTACGGAGTCCAGTCGTCGGGCGACTTGTCTGGAGGTGGCGCTGGAGGTGCACCATCTTCAAGGAAGTGTCCCATTGCATCACATGGACACGCTGATATCAATTCTGGTTAGTTGCAACACAACAGAAAGCTTCAAAGAACGTACCGTTTAGTTTAGGGTGATAGTTACGGTATAATCTATCACCTGGCCCGAAAAAAACAGTGTCTACGTCGACCAGATTGTTGGACTTGTCAAATGCCTGTCCCGGGTCAGACAAACCTGCTGGAAGGTCATTATTGTCCGCAGGGTAGTCGTTGTCGCCTGCGGGAGGGTCATTGGCTGGTAGTTCGGGCTCGTCTTCGACTGTGACAGTATGCGAGACAGTGGCTTGTCTAAACGTTGGGTGGGAAACGTTCCAGTGCTTTTTGCGCCCTCCTTGAGTCTTGAAGTAGCGAGCACAGTGTAAGTAGCCGCATGGAATTTGAAGTGCGTTGTGGTCCTTGCGCATACTCTGAGACATCCCAGCTGGAAGATAAACGACACGAGCACTCGACAATTGCTGGTGGAGAGGCGCTGGGGGTGTGTAATACTAAAAGTAAGTTCAAATCAGACATATTTCAACAGATGCCGATTAGTGAGCAAGCGCCACAGGCAGCGCCCATTGGGGTGAGACTTACTGAGTTTTTTCAACCAACTTCTGTTACTTCCTTCTTGCTCCAGCAAAAGTACCATCCCTCCACCCCCAAGTCGCCCATCTGCCCAGTCACAATGTCTTCCACAGAAGCTTCCCGCCGTACCCGTGCATCGAATGCAACCGCCAGACCTGGAAAAATAGTGCTCGACGCACAAACCAAGAGGCGCACCAAGGCACAGAAGGCTGCTGACGATCTTGCCGTTAAAGAAGCCAAAGAAGCCAAAGAAGCGGCGGTCCAAAAGGGAGTTGAGCGCCTTGCTGGTATGCAGGTTGAGATGGAGAAGGTACAGAAGGAGTTACTCACCAACAAGGCGACTCCTGTTTGGCCCAAGCCAAAGGCTCGAAAGGCGACAAAGGCTACTGTAAAGGGAGGTGACAATTGCACTGATAGTGTATTAGATGACGTACCAGACGCTGATGTGGCAGAGGATGCTGCTGAGCCCGTGGATCATGGAACCTCGGGGAAAGGGAAGAAAACTGCTAAGAGAAGTGGAAAGAAATTGATCAGAGACGCTATCAGCAATGTGCAAAAGAAAATCAGCGAGTCAACGTTGATTGCAGAAGGCGATATCAATATCAATAGCATCGACGATAAGCCTAAGGCATGTGCTGATGGGAAAGGCTCCACGCCATCATCGTAAGATTTAGTTCTCCCACCACCACAATGTTGCTCCTAACTGAATCGACACTCTATTTTCTCAATCTTACATATAGCATCAACGCGACCACTCAGAAATTCGCACTAGGTGGCCGAGTGACCAACTGGGTCTCGGGGGTCAGGCCTGGACAGTTGGAGTCAGTATCCCGCCAATCATCCCGCCAATCCAGCACTTCAACCCGAGCACCTCCAACGTCAATTTTCTCGCATGACACTGCTTCCTCAGCAGCAACCTCAGCTGCTCAGCCTCGGACTCAGACTCACATCCCCCCGCCCCCAACTCAAGTTGCTGATTGTATCCCAGAAGATGCCCTTACTGGTGGCTTTGCGGATGAGATTGACGATTCATTGGAGCGTGAGGCTGCTTGCCTGGATAGCAAGCAAAAGAAGGGGAAATCTAAGGTAATTGACCATGAATAATTGGTGCAGTCCGCTAACAATTTTCTTCACAGGTAGCCTCAATTTTTGACGAGGACTCAGACTGCGGCGGGCCCAAGGCTCCCTTCACACAAATACCATCAATAGAATTCGACTCGGACGATGAGCTCATGGATTCATTCACGCAAGAGGATGAAGACTTGCAGGAGCCTAAGGCTCCATTCACACAGATGGACGATCGCATAGCCACGGCGGCCCTCAAGCGGAAGGCAAGTGTCAATTCTGTCTCAGACGATGACGAGCAGTCCCAGTGGTCCATGGACATCGATCGTGACGATGTTGAAGATTTGATCGAGGACTTCGATAGTGAACCGCCACAGGCTAACCCTATCGTAGTGAAAAAGGAGAAGGTTTTGCGCATGACAACTTCGGTAAGTACCCTTGGAACTCAATAGTGTTTATTCTGACACTTATATAGACATCTGCGACCACCTCTAATGCCGACATCAAGCCGCCTGCTCCAAAAAAGGTCAAAGTTGAATCTTCCGGGACTCCACATGCCCAAGCCCAGGCTCCTGCCCGAAAACGCCAGCCGAACGTGGATACTGCACCAGAGCACATGAAATCACGCGGTGCGTATCGTACGGCTGACTTGCCTCCAGCGATGCAAGCGGACCAGCGCTGGGCCAAGACATTCCTCCCTACCATAATGATGTGGGTGGGAAGCTACGAAGACATCTGGAGCATTCCAGATGACGTACTGCTCCATCATGTCCAGCTCGTTTTCAACGTGGTATATCACGAACTCAAGATTGTCGTTGTTCACGGCAGTGTGGTACATTTACTCGTAAGTTCGCCGATTTATGTCTAGCATTAACTGATGTTATATCTTCGATTAGACTGCACAGCGTATTTCAGAATGGCGGAGTAATTTTGGTTCAACGGCCATTGTGATAATCATCAACTTCTTGGCACGCAATTCCGACTGTGACTCCAGCGAACTCGCATCCTCCCTTCTTGCCAGCTGGGCGTTTTTATACGAGGACCCCGATAATATCAACCCCCTCACAGCATATCGTTCACCGTTCCTACTGCAGCTGTATGGTAGAGCGCACCTCAGCGCCATCAATGGTTATGTGGAGATTCCTTCCCTCGACTTGGGAGCACTTGCAACGATCGGGACGTCACGCGTTCTTGCCCTTTCTGCTGTGGCGGTGAGTTTAATTTTAAATGCTTTAATCGCACTCATTTTTTTTCAGCTCGAGCGTGCTCTTGGTATGATCTCCCGCAAGGAACTCAAAGTCGAAGAGATCCTGTTGTCTGCGTCGAGAGGAAAAGTTTACGATCAAGCTTCCCAAGGTCCTTAACAAGGCTACAGGGAAAAAGACCAATGCACCATTCTTATTTTTGGCAGCTCGCTGGTCCAAAGCTACTAATTCGTACATCAAGTCTATTTCTAGCAAACCCACTGGCTACGTGGAGGCTATGGTAAAAATGGCACGCGCTATTTTACAGGATGTTGCTGAAACATCGGGCTCGCTCAACGACTACGAATCGGACGAGGACGAGTGTGCTATGATCTGTAAGTTTTATTTATTCCGACTTCGTCTCGCTGACATCATATACTACATTGCTGCAGGATTTGTCTTCGAGTCGTTGTACCGCTGCCGCCGCCCTACAGTAGATATATGTCGCCGCGATCATCGCTTTTGCCCCACCTTTTTCTCCTTATGTTCGAATGGCTCCCAACTTTTCATTTTTGGGAGTCTGCTTAATCTACACTTATTTCTACTTGTATGCCCCCCTTTCAATAACAATTGTGCCGCTTTGTCTGCTTTTTGTCTGCTTTTTTAAGCGAAATAAGTGTTGAAAAAGCGAATCTCCAGATATTGAGTGGGCTTTTTTAAGTGGCTCACGCTTTTCTCTCAAATGACTTATCGGTCGCTTTTCATGAAATTAAGTGACAAATAAAGTGAGATAAGTAACTTGTGGTTTTCCTGATGTGTTTAACGAGTCGTTAAGATGATGTTTTGATGTCATGCCTTGCAGTCGTGTTTTGGTAGTTGCACGATCTATTCTCGACTTCTCGTATTTTGCCCAGCTTCAAGTTCAGACGACTGAGTCCCTCGAAGCCCTACAACCGCCCTGACTGTATTTCACACTAACAAAGACATCCTCAAGGAGCTCGCTGTTCGAGAGCATTCAACATTCCGAAACTACACCAGCTCTCTCATTACGTCCAGTCGATCACGTTGTTTGGCGCAGCTGACGGCTTTAATACTGAACTTCCAGAGCGCTTACACATTGATTTCGCAAAAGATTCATACCGTGCTAGCAACAAACGGGACTACGAAGAACAAATGGCTTTGTGGCTCCAACGCCAAGAAGCCGTATTTTACGTAGCGCATACCTGGATTGGTTGTCCCAACAGCCTCGCTCCAAGTCACCTGCGGGTCTCACCGGATGTCATTCAAACCCATACTTCGACGCAGATTCGGACACGGACTCGGAGTCGGAAACACCAAATCTTCCCGCCGCTGAACCACTTCAAGCAACACATGTCCTTGCGAAAGCCCCCGCACATCCTCACCAATCCGTTGGAACCATCATAACAGCACACGGTGCTACCGAGAGTTCCTCCCTGCTCTCCGATCCTTCTTGCTCAAGAATCTCCTGCGCAACACCATAGTCCCTGGACTTCAAGACCGATTCGATCTTTATCGTCAAGTGGTGATCGTGACGCCACCTGATTTACGAGTTAGCGACGTGCCACAGTGAAGGCGGATCAGGGCAACACCAGAAACGTTGCCGTCAGGCCGGAAGCCTGGTATCCCAGCCCGGTTTGACATGGCCTTGATAGCAGACAGGCCTCGCTCTTCTAACTTCCATACTCTTGAAGGTATTTTTTTTCCGGGT